TCTCTCTCTGTGTGTGTGTGTGTGTGTGTGTGTGTGTGTGTGTGAGAGTGTGTCTCTCTGAGAGTGTGTGAGTGTGTGTGTGTGTGTGAGAGAGAGACAGCAGGTGAATGTGTGTGTGTGTGTGTGAGAGTGTGTGTGTGTGTGTGTGTTGTGTGTGTGAGAGTGTGTGTGTGTGAGAGTGTGTGTGTGTGAGAGTGTGTGTGTGTGAGAGTGTGTGTGTGTGAGAGTGTGTGTGTGTGAGAGTGTGTGTGTGTGAGAGTGTGTGTGTGTGAGAGTGTGTGTGTGTGAGAGTGTGTGTGTGTGAGAGTGTGTGTGTGTGAGAGTGTGTGTGTGTGAGAGTGTGTGTGTGTGAGAGTGTGTGTGTGTGAGAGTGTGTGTGTGTGAGAGTGTGTGTGTGAGAGAGATACCTGTGAGTTGTCCTAGAGACGCAGGCGCTGCACTTCTGCCCGGTGTGTGACTAACATATTTTGTTATTTTGATTAGATAATCAAGTGTTCTAAAATAGAACAAAATAAAAGTGTGATATTATACATGCAATATCCGTATGAATATAATTTCAGTGCTATGACCTTTTGTGTAGATATTTACAGATGGTTATCTTTAAGCATGACTGGTGAAATTAAATGGTAACACTTTACAATAAGAGTTAATTTGTAACATTAAGATGAATGAAAGCTGGAGAAGTATAGTTCCTCGTTAGAGTGTGTTAATTCAACATTTACTAGTACATTTTAAATTAGTTTCTTCTGGTAACATTTGAATGATCAATATATATTTTTTTCATTTACAAAGTCTGGTTCAGTACTGTTTTTTTTTTAATAGTAAAGCATTATTTTAGTTTTCATTCAGTATCCATTTTAAAAACTATCGGTTGATTAATCGGTATCGGCCAGTTTGGTCCAACCTAGCTATCAGTATCGGTAAAATCCTTATTATCGGTCGAGCTCTAGTGTTTACAGTGTGTTCTGTGCTTCCCGGCGGTCAGGTGGCGTATTCCTACACCTATGAGCTGAGGCCTTACCTGGATCTCCTGCTGCAGATCCTCCTGATTGAGGACTCGTGGCAGACGCACCGGTGAGTCGAGATCTGCGTGATGGTGAGAGCATCTGAATGTCGGAGAGCAAGTGTCCTCATATCAGTTCTCTCTTTAGGATCCACAATGTTTTGAAGGGCATTCCCGATGACCGAGACGGGCTCTTTGACACCATCCAGCGCTCCAAGAACCATTATCAGAAACGGGCCTATCAGTGCATTAAATGCATGGTGGCCCTCTTCACCAACTGCTCTGTGGCTCATCAGATCCTGCAGGTGAGGCTGACGTGTTGTCATGAGCATTTACAGTTACTGGTTTAGCACGGGTCTCCAGCTCTGCTCCAACACACCTGCCTGTAATCAAGTAGCCATGAACACCTTGATTAGCTGCTTCAGGAGTGTTTGATTGGGGTTGGATCTGAAATTTGAAGTGATTGTGGATGTTTTGTGTCACAGAGTAACGGGGATCTGAAGAGGAAGTGGACGTGGGCAGTAGAATGGCTGGGTGATGAGCTGGAGAGGAGGCCATACACGGGAAACCCTCAGTACAGCTACAACAACTGGTCTCCTCCGGTTCAGAGCAACGAGACGTCCAACGGATATTTCCTGGAGCGCTCTCACAGCGCCCGCATGACCCTGGCCAAGGCCTGCGAGCTCTGTCCTGAAGAGGTGAGCCGTCTGGCCCTCTGCCTCATCAATAGAGATGTAACGATGTTATCAATATCATGATATCACCATAGAAAAACTCTTGATATTATCGTGGTCACATGACTTTATGAAACGATAGGTCTTCCGGCAAAAAGCATAGTTTTTAAAAATATATTTTAACTTCTTTATTACATATACTTCTTCTTACTAACATAAAAGGTGTTTAAAGTTGTGTTTTGGGTCATTATGCTTTGGCACAGTATGTCGAGCAAACTCAGACCGAAAGCACAATACGCTCAATCTCTTCATCAAGTCTGTTTGCGCTGTGTGTTTCAAACACTTGGTTCAGACGATCCGCTCGTGATCCGGTGTTTTCTGCGTCTCAGAACGACTCGTTCACACCGAATGAATGCCGTCCACTCCTTTATTTCACCTGCTGTGAGTTTAGTTAGGCTTTATTTTCACGGCAGATGATTACAGCGCTTCACTAGATTTGTAGTGAGACGTGTTTTTGTTTTTGTAAGCGTGTTTTCACTGAAGCTGGAGTTTTCCGTCAGAATAAAAGTGTAAAAGTGCAGAATATGAATAGCTGACAGCTAGCGGTTTAAATGAGTCCAAATTCAAAATATCTTTCAAGTGTAGAAATTAGGAAAGAAGTATTGTAATTTCTCTACTGCAGTGTAAAGCAAAAATAATATACCTATAAAATATTCATTTTCAGTTATTTTACAGTGCAACTGCTTTACAATTTATGGTTATTACTGTCATTGTTGTTATTATTATTATTATATTCTAATTAGTTTGGCCTCCTTAAAACCCCAGTGTGAGTGTAGTTTAGACTGAGACAGAATATATCACAAATACAAAGAGGGTTGAGTCTCCTGTAAAGTTCAGGTTCAAATCAATTCACTGATTTTTTTTCTGATTTAAGTTTTCTTAGTTAAGAACAAGGGTTGCAGCTCTTAATTTTGAACTCTGAAAGTGCATTAGATAGAAGAATTTAACTTTAAAATGTACAACATTTAAATTTTTTCACAAGTCTTAATTTGTCTTGGGGAGCTGCTCTATTTCTTGAATAATAGGTAATAATAAAATAATATTTTCAAGAAGCATTAGGCTAAGAGTTCAGTTGCTAATATGCTGAGATATTGATGCTTAATGTCTAAAGTGCTAACATCCACAGTGACTTGCATTCCTGGGAATCGCTCTACTAGGTCAACACATGTTTGTTTGTTTGTTTGTTTGTTTGTTCAGGAGCCAAATGATCAGGAAGCACCTGATGAGCACGACTCGTCGCCGCCGGAGGACACTGCGCTCTATCCTCATTCTCCAGGAACGCAGTATCAGCAGGTGACGTCCACACGCTAGTCCTTCATACACGCGTGATGCCTACCTGTGCATATATCAAACAGTGCTGTCCTCTGAGGCCAAGTGCACACCACAGACCTCACACACTTTCTCATCAGTGGGAAAAAGAGAAAAGGTCAAAATATGGATTGGTTGTGAGGACAGATATGGGCAGAGGTTATCCGCTTCCTGCTCTTTCACACCATCGCTGCACACCTGACGACTGCTCTGCCAGATTTACACCGGTCTGAATGGACATATGAGACCTGTGCTGGATAAATGAGTCACAATGAGCACATTGTCAAAAATGAGGTATTTTCTCCATTAAAAGACCCTCAAAATGAGGTATGATTTGTTGGAATCGGACGAAAAATGAGTGCGCAAAATCACCAAGCAACGTTGTATTTTTGCCTTCAGTTCTTTTCTTAATAATAATTACTGTATTAATAATCACAATATAGCTATTTATTATAATTATTATTATAATATTAAGCAAAAAACAGTATAGAACAAATGTGTGTCCCTGCAGCACAAAAGCAGTGTTAAGTCGCTGGGGGATATTTGTAGCAATAGCCAACAATACATTGTATGGGTCAATACGCTCAATCTCTTCATCAAGTCTGTTTGCGCTGCGTGTTTCAAACACTTGGTTCAGACGATCCGCTCGTGATCCGGTGTTTTCTGCGTCTCAGAACGACTCGTTCACACCGAATGAATGCCGTCCACTCCTTTATTTCACCTGCTGTGAGTTTAGTTAGGCTTTATTTTCACGGCAGATGATTACAGCGCTTCACTAGATTTGTAGTGAGACGTGTTTTTGTTTTTGTAAGCGTGTTTTCACTGAAGCTGGAGTTTTCCGTCAGAATAAAAGTGTAAAAGTGCAGAATATGAATAGCTGACAGCTAGCGGTTTAAATGAGTCCAAATTCAAAATATCTTTCAAGTGTAGAAATTAGGAAAGAAGTATTGTAATTTCTCTACTGCAGTGTAAAGCAAAAATAATATACCTATAAAATATTCATTTTCAGTTATTTTACAGTGCAACTGCTTTACAATTTATGGTTATTACTGTCATTGTTGTTATTATTATTATTATATTCTAATTAGTTTGGCCTCCTTAAAACCCCAGTGTGAGTGTAGTTTAGACTGAGACAGAATATATCACAAATACAAAGAGGGTTGAGTCTCCTGTAAAGTTCAGGTTCAAATCAATTCACTGATTTTTTTTCTGATTTAAGTTTTCTTAGTTAAGAACAAGGGTTGCAGCTCTTAATTTTGAACTCTGAAAGTGCATTAGATAGAAGAATTTAACTTTAAAATGTACAACATTTAAATTTTTTCACAAGTCTTAATTTGTCTTGGGGAGCTGCTCTATTTCTTGAATAATAGGTAATAATAAAATAATATTTTCAAGAAGCATTAGGCTAAGAGTTCAGTTGCTAATATGCTGAGATATTGATGCTTAATGTCTAAAGTGCTAACATCCACAGTGACTTGCATTCCTGGGAATCGCTCTACTAGATCAACACATGTTTGTTTGTTTGTTTGTTTGTTTGTTCAGGAGCCAAATGATCAGGAAGCACCTGATGAGCACGACTCGTCGCCGCCGGAGGACACTGCGCTCTATCCTCATTCTCCAGGAACGCAGTATCAGCAGGTGACGTCCACACGCTAGTCCTTCATACACGCGTGATGCCTACCTGTGCATATATCAAACAGTGCTGTCCTCTGAGGCCAAGTGCACACCACAGACCTCACACACTTTCTCATCAGTGGGAAAAAGAGAAAAGGTCAAAATATGGATTGGTTGTGAGGACAGATATGGGCAGAGGTTATCCGCTTCCTGCTCTTTCACACCATCGCTGCACACCTGACGACTGCTCTGCCAGATTTACACCGGTCTGAATGGACATATGAGACCTGTGCTGGATAAATGAGTCACAATGAGCACATTGTCAAAAATGAGGTATTTTCTCCATTAAAAGACCCTCAAAATGAGGTATGATTTGTTGGAATCGGACGAAAAATGAGTGCGCAAAATCACCAAGCAACGTTGTATTTTTGCCTTCAGTTCTTTTCTTAATAATAATTACTGTATTAATAATCACAATATAGCTATTTATTATAATTATTATTATAATATTAAGCAAAAAACAGTATAGAACAAATGTGTGTCCCTGCAGCACAAAAGCAGTGTTGAGTCGCTGGGGGATATTTGTAGCAATAGCCAACAATACATTGTATGGGTCACAATTATACATTTCTCTTTTATGACAAAAATCATTAGGATATTAAGTAAAGATCATGTTCCATGAAGATATTTTGTACATTTCCTACCGTAAATATATCAAAGCTTAATGTTTGATTAGTAATATGCATTGCAACTTTAAAGATGATTTTCTCAATATTTAGATTTTTTTGCACCCTCAGATTCCAGATTTTCAAATAGTTGTATCTCAGCCAAATATTGTGCTATCCTAACAAACCATACATCAATGGAAAGATGATTCATTCAGCTTTCAGATGATGTATAAATCTCAATTTAGAGAAATTGACCCTTATGACTGGTTTTGTGCTCCAGGGTCACGTATAAGAAACAAATAATGCATTACATTTTTTATTTTACATTTAAACAAAACATTCAAGTAAGAAAAACAAATAATCAAATCTAAAAAAGTGTATTCATCACAAATAAATTGATTATTAAAACTACAAAAGCAGCAATCTTTTCTTTTATTGTTAGATTAACATTAATCAGACGGCCTATAGTAAGACCTACTGTACTGTACCGGATCTAATGTAATGTTACACATCAACAGTTCCCCAAACGTTCACTTAAGACCGAACAGATCATGTTTGCGTGAACACTTAAATACTGTACTTCAGTGTATGTGTGTATATTCGCACGCAGTCGCTGTCGTATTTATGTGCGTTTGGGATGTCAGTCAGTGCGAGAAGCGAGCGGAGAAGAGGTACTCCTCTCAGAAAACGTATAAATAAAGATAATTGTAGATGTTTAATTACTATTTGGAGCATTGGGATCGTTAGGCGAGGGCTTAATGAACTCATTTTTGTGAAAACCTCAAATTTGACATTTGTCACTCTTTTTTTGTTGTTGTTTTTTTGTTGCCTGTAGCTCAAAATGAGCCCGTGCGCATTCACACTCATTTTGCCAGCACGGGTCGTGTATGTGTGTATCATTTCAGACCAGTGTGAAGCGTGTCTCAGAAGTGTGCAGCTTCATGAAAGAGCGAGGAGTGTGCGCTTGGCTTAACTCAATAGCTATGTTTCCATCCAAACATTCACATTAAATTTATGCACACAACTGGAATATTGCATGAAACATTTGTGAGTAAAGCACCGTTTCCATGCAGCGAGTCAAAGAGAACAAAAGTTTCACTTCTTGATAAACTGGCTCTAAATATCACACGTTCTGTCAGCGATGGAGTTTTGGTTCCTCTGGCTTGCTTAGTTGGGGACACTTCATATCCAGCGATATCGTCGACTTGATTGCACAGACACTATTTAACCTGAGCTGAGCTGGACGATGACATCACTAAATCATGATGAACTACCTTTAACTGAAGATTGAGTGTTTACTATTATCCTTCTGCATTATTGACACACTATTTTCCTATTTAATGCTGTAAAGCTGTTTTGACACAATCTGTACTGTTAAAAGCGCTTTATAAATAAGTGACTTGACTTGTGTTCACTCTCTCTGCAGCCAAATAACCAGCCCTACACCGGCCCGGCCGCCCAGCACATGAATAACCCACAGCGGCCCCAAGAAAGCTGGGAGGGAACCGACGAGGTCCCTCCAGTCCAGACTAAAGAGTAGCAGTCGCCCACGCCTTGCCTCGAGACCGCATCCGCTCGCCTCCAGGACCGAGACCAGGCCTTACAGCCCCGGAGCGGAGCCGCACTCTCTGCCAGCGCCGACGGCCCTCTCCATTCTCCATCTGTCTGTGATGATGACCCTGGAGCGACGCGGGTGCCTGCAGAGTCTGGTGCGCAGACGCAGACGCAGTCTTGGTGTGAACCGTCGCTGTAGCGGATGATGCATGTGTGCAAACCTCTGGACCCCCTCCAGCTCCATCATCTTCATCATCACCTGAGAATACCTCAGCAGCCGAATGAAGGGAAACCCGAGGCTTTGTGGTATGCGTTTGCTGCGTCAGCGTGGACCGTTGCGGACAAACGCTGCATCCTCATGACTCTCCGTGGGGTCAACTCGGTGTCGCTCTACTGATTTAGACGCCATTGAAAGCTTTGATTTGTGTTGTTGTTCTGTTAGGAGTGTGATCTTCTGTTAGGGTCTTGAACACCACTGCTGCTGGCTCACTTTGTCGTCCATCCGCTTCAGCCTCTTTAATGTTGGTGTGGCAAAGTGGCTGCAGATTGGCACATTTACTCCACAGACTACATTCTCTCTGGCACTCGAGTCCATGTTTCATTTGTATTGTCAGCGGGCTGGAAAGTGTAATAACTCGTCTTATTTTCTCACTGTTGAATGGAATTTTAGTTCTAGCCCTAGTTCTGAGTCTGCCTCTTGGCTCCTCCCACTTCCTCTGTCCCCGTCCAATGAAAACGCAGCCACGGCCACACTGCTCTGTATCCGGGGAGATCATCAGGATTCATTCATCAGCTGGATTTATAAAGTGTGGCTCTTGTCTGAATACCAAAATCACCAAATTCTGTTTTGCCGTTTTCTTTAATAGAGGTTAATTTGTTGGATTTGAGAAGAAAGAGTTTGAGCGTTTGAATGCAAAGGCCTTGTCCTTGTGTTGTTATTTTAAGAGGATATTTAATGTACAGAGTTCTGTTTTTGCCGAGCGTAGTTTACGGCGTGAGGTTGGATTCTGGAGCTGCTTTAGCCATGTGAAGTTTTCACTTGAAGTCTTTCTTTTTCTGCACAGACGTGTAATAACAGAAGCATTGCACCACTAGAAACAATAAATTAAACATTTAAACGCAAGCTTGACTTTTTATTAGCTTTCCGATGGTTTCTATAAGAAGGTACGGTTTGTAAATACCCGAAGCACGCAGAAACACTCGGGGCTGCGTTTATCAAAAGCATCGTAAGCCTAAATTGATCGCAGAACCATTGTCACCAATAGAGCTACGATCAACTGAGGCTTATGATGCTTTTGATAAACGCAGCCCAGACCTGAGACACACTCGTTGTGCTCGTTAAAGCGATGTGTCCTGAAACATCTGCCAAAACCCATCCCAACAAAGACTGAACGGCCCTGGACTGGGTTGTGAGCGGGTTAAACCATCTAAACTAGCACTGCAGGTCATCCTTCTCTCAGAATACAGAGAGGATCTCACAAGCTTCGTTTTGTTTCTTCTTTTGTAAACCTCTCATCAGGATGACATTTGCCTTCTGCTTTGTTTTTGCTCTTTCGGGTTTGATTTTGTTTGAATTCTGAAGCTCTTCTTGTGAACCGTGCATGGATAATATTCCTCGGCCTTCGAGCACTGTACAAACCCAGCACACTGTACAATTATACTTTAAAGGTAAAAAATAAATGGTATTTGAATTACACTGACCCACATCTTCTGCTCAGAACATCTGCTCGTGGTTTAACGTGTGCAATGAAACACTGTGCATGTACTCTTCACATTTCAGTCATGAGGCAGCTCCACGTTTCTGAACAAAATAACCGCAGCACATTTCGAAGGTGTTTTGTGAAATCTCCATTCGACGACTGGACGCCTCTCTTTCTGTCCAGGTTTGAGCGCACGAGGAAAGCTGTGATGGTCCTCAGTCGCTGCAAACACATGAAATAAACCTGCAGACATCCAGGTGTGTTCTGCTCCGAGAAATCATGCAGCAGTGAACGACACGTCCTGTAGCTCAAAATTAGGATACTGACAATGTGTGTCCCTGCAGCACAGAAGCAGTGTTGAGTCGCTGGGGGATATTTGTAGCAATAGCCAACAATACATTGTATGGGTCACAATTATACATTTCTCTTTTATGCCAAAAATCATTAGGATATTAAGTAAAGATCATGTTCCATGAAGATATTTAGTAAATCTCCTACCGTAAATATATCAAAACTTAATGTTTGATTAGTAATATGCATTGCTAAGAACTTCATTTGAACAACTTTAAAGATGATTTTCTCAATATTTAGATTTTTTTGCACCCTCAGATTCCAGATTTTCAAATATTGTGCTATCCTAACAAACCATACACCAATGGAAAGCTATTTATTCAGCTTTCAGATGATGCATACATCTCAATTACGTCACAAAATTGGCCCTCATGACTGGTTTGTGGTCCATATGGATTAGCAGTTGTTGAACAAAATGAACTGCATTTCCAGGTAATCCGTGAGAACTTTTATAAAATGCACCAGCATTAAATGACCGATTCATCTCCACTGTTGTAAACAATGTGGCGTCGCTCCCCAAAGTCTCGCGAGACTTCTGTCGTCCAATAACGTGACGCGGTTTCCGCTCTTATTTCACGCTCAGATCGAGAGAGACGCAGCTCGAGGTCCGATCATCGTCGACGCGAAGGCTTCCTCAGACGCATAGAAGAACATTAAAACACAAGCGCTTCATCCTAAAGCGACGTTCGCGCTTCGGGGGCACCCGTTTTTCGTTCCTTTGTTTAGTTACACGTCTCACCGAGCGGCGTCAGCAGCAGCGAGAGCGACACACCGGCGAACAAAGAACCCCGTTTGTGTTCGACATCAGCCCTCAACCGCCGTCAGTTATGAGTCATGTGGCCGTGGAGAGTGTGCCCGGTCTGGACCCGCAGGTAAGCCGGGGTGTGCGCGGGGTGTGCGCGGGGTGTGCGCGGGGTGTGCGGCGGCGGGAGAGGGTAAGATGGAGGCCGCGAGGAGCGGATGATGGCGGCGCTGCGGCGCGTCACGCGGCTCCCTCGTGAACCGGCTCCGGGGCTTTAGGACGGTGTTCGTGTGGCTTCGAGAGCTAAGAGTCGTCTATAAGCGGCTGTGTGAGCGCGTTCAGACGCGCCACGCTCATGAATGCATCGCGATGGAGCTGCAGAGCTTTCCGCGGCTGGTCTGTGGCCTGCTGTCGAGCTGCTTCTGGCCCTTTGTCTGGCCAGCTCTTCAGTGCGCTGCGTCCGTGTGTTTGCGGTCAGTACGTCTCTCAATAGAACCGGTTTGGTTTCTGTGCTTCAGATGAACCCAGACGGACTCGAATATCTCGATGTAAACACAACGAATCTTCCGAGAGCGCTTTAAATATCGTTTCATAAGTCAACAAAATGTGACCCCGGAACACAAAACCAGTCATGAGGGTCAATTTTGTGAAATTGAGATGTATGCATCATCTGAAAGCTGAATAAATAATCTTTCCATTGATGTATGGTTTGTTAGGATCGGACAATATTTGAAAATCTGGAATCTGAGGGAGCAAAAAAATCTAAATATTGAGAAAATCATCTTTAAAGTTGTTCAGATGAAGTTCTTAGCAATGCATATTACTAATCAAACATTAAGTTGTGATATATTTACGGTAGGAAATGTACAAAATATCTTCATGGAACATGATCTTTACTTAATATCCTAATGATTTTTGGCATAAAAGAGAAATGTATAATTGTGAGCCATACAATGTATTGTTGGCTATTGCTACAAATATCCCCCAGCGACTCAACACTGCTTCTGTGCTGCAGGGACACAGATAAGAGTGAATATAATTGTGTTGTAAAGGTCAGGTGAGCTCGTTTAATGACTTTCCGTCGTTTTGACTCAGGGTTTGATTTGTGACTTTATTTGTATGTTGCGGTATTAATCAGTGCATCGGGGTCTGAGATGTAGTGATCTTCAGGTAGATGTATTTCTGAGGAGCGCAGAAGGCTTGAGCTGGGTTCTGATCTCGGTGTGAGCTCGAGGGCGCCTCCGGTGGATCCCGGGTTTCCTCGCGCACCGGTCCCCGTTCAGCTTTTTAAGGTTATTCTGCTCTGCACCACATCAACTCTGTCGCTTCTCTTTCAGCTCGCGGCCCTAGACTTGAACTCCGCTGACGTTCAAGGAGTCCCTGGAAGTGAGTATCCGGTTCTGACGCCAGTTCCGATCTGGCTTTATCTTCAGTTCTGCTCCGGATGAAGGAGAGTTGTGTGTGTGCCGTGCTAACGAACTCTGTCTTCACCAGGGCGCTACATTCCACCTCATCTAAGGAACAAAGAAGCTTCCAAAAATGGTACGTTACGCTTTTCTTCTTGACGTGTCTGTTAGCCCTGAAGCTCCAGTGCTGTTGAAGACTGATCGTCTGACTTAAAGACAGTGTTTGTGGCTCGGCACGTCTGTAGGACGTCTGTCAGGGGCTGGGTTTCCATCCAAAGTTGTGAATTTAACTCGTGCACACAACTGGAATATCGCAGAGAACGTTTGTGAGTAAAGCACCGTTTCCATGCAGCGAGTCAAAGAGAACAAAAGCATCACTTCCCGATAAACGGGCTCTAAATATCACACAGAAAACTAGGAGAAGCCACTGAATATAATAATTGTAATATGTGATAAATGACTTGCGCCTCAGAGCGAGCAGACGAAACACAATAAATGCGTGAGGAGGAGGAGGATGCTGCTGTTTGGGAACACGGTCGTTTAAGACAATTATACAGAAATACTTTAACGACAGGCTTTGCTCAGGCCTTTCAGAACAACATATAGATGCTGTGAACGCGATCGGCCCGCTGGTTAGTCCAGTTATCCCGTCTCAGCGCACATCACATGACTGTTCGATGCGCATGGTGGACTTTATTCGATAATTGTGTTTCCAGCTTAGTTTATGCACACTTTTTTCTTATCGGATAAAGTTTATCCGACTCAATTGTGCGCATATGTTTTTTTTTAATGCACATTTTTAGAACTTGCATCTTGGCACTTTTTTTTAATGCAATATTCCAAAATGCATGTAAAAATAGGTGGATGGAAACCTAGCTAGTGTGCAGTCTGTGAATCTCTGCTTGCTTCTGTCTAGGTGCCAGTGCACTACTGCACGCTCTCATACCTCTCTCTCTCGGACTGTTATTGGTACACATCTTGAGCCAAAACAGAGTGCTTTCCACTGGCATTTTTGGATCATTTTATCCCCCCTCCATGTTTGTCCAATGACTCGAGTAATCAATATGCTGGCATGTAAACAAAAACATTAGTCTACAGTTCAACCAGAGCTTGTCTGAACCGTATTGGCCGAGACTCTCAGCACTATAGGTTTGAGATGCTCCGGGACCTTTAGTCTTATCCTTGTGACGAGGCTGTTTGGCCCAGCACCCTCCTGACTATACGTTTGTTCTTTTAGCAGGAGCTTATTCCTCTGCTAGACAGAGCGGTTACTCGGTGGCACCAGGAAGGAGCTGTAAGTTTCTATTGACAGCCTTTAGCTAAAGAGACTTTGAGGGGAAATCCTCAAATATGCATGATTCCACGATTAATTCTCAGCACACACGTGGAATCATAACGGCTTATTTCAGCCACATTTCTTTCCAATGCCAGATTGCAAATGAGGCTTTGAAGAGCACTTTTGTTTAAAGACCCGACTCAGATGAGGGGGAAATATTTAAAGTGGATGCTCCCATGTCTGCATTCACTTTAATTCTCTGCAGTTTACAAGCAATTTCATTGTAGTCGCTCAAGTCCAGGACCGGTGGCAGACTACTTAACTAGAGCCGAGAAGTACATGCCATGCCAAGTCCATGCCTTACTTGACTAACTGCTTTGCTTTTGACCATCCGGCCCCAGAATGCTCCGCTCCATGTAACGTTTCTAGCACACGTGTGTTTAATAACCCCGTCCTCTCGCTCTCTCACAGATTCTCCCGGAGGATGGGATAACGGACGCAGCAATGGCTTCGTGAACGGCTGCCATGATGGCCGAGACAACCGCATGAATGGGGGCAACAGTTTCGGTGGCCGCGGCTCCATGCGCAACGACCGCGGAGGAAGAGGAGGCTTCAGAGGTAACACCAGCGGCTCCTACAACCCCATCCAGCCAATGCAGAGCGCAGGCAGGTGTCGTCACCATACGTCTGAGAACGCTTGCGTTGCTGTTTGACTACACGACTTGCACTGCTGCTTTTTGATGTGAATCGTTCTCTCTTTATTAGGATTTGGTTATGAAAACAAAGATGCCAGTGGCTGGAATGCCCCAAAAGACACTGCCTACAACAGCTTTGGCGGCCGCTCTGACCGGGGCAAATCATCTTTCTTCAATGACCGCGGGTCTTCATCCAGGGGGCGGTGAGGCTTGCTGACCTTTTATTTTTGTATTTTGGTGTGCGCGTAGCTTGTCAGAGAACTCCGGCTCTGTGTAGTAAATGCTGCTCCATCTGAGAGCAGGTGATGGAGATTTACTACTAATCACAGAACCGCTTTACTGACCAGATGCGTGTGGCAGTTGCGTTTGATTAATCGTGCAGCCCTAGGTTACATCGTCTCTCCACTAGGTGGCGACAAGTGACTGTTAAAAATGTTTTTGTCCTTGAATCATTCATTCAAGAGATTTGTTCAAAAATGCGGATTCATCCAGTACTGAAACAAGTGAAATATTTGAGTGAGTCATTGAATCATTCAAACCAATTTCATAATTTTAATATTAAAAATTGGTTTATTTTAAATGTATATTAACACTCTTAAACTGACTGCAGCAATTAACATTTTGTCTTAGCCTTTTGTAAATTGTTAATTTAAGTTCAGAATAGTTCTCAATTTATCCAGAATCGTGCAGCTCTAGAATGAACTAACTTGTGGTGTAAGTCCTGGGTTTGGCTGAAGCAGTGTTGTGTTTGGCAGGTATGAGCGTGGAGGTTTTGGCGGCGGTGGGAACAGCCGATGGGTGGAGGACTCCAGAGACGATGAAGACTGGTCCAAGCCGTTGCCTCCCAATGAGCGTGTGGAACAGTGAGTGTTGCTGTTTTGACATGACGCTGCTCTCAGGTTCCTGTGAAGGTGTTCCTACTTCCATATCCTTAAAAAATGACTAACATCAGATCTGAAGTAGTTCTGATGTGGTGTCGTTGATATGTTAATCTTGTAAATGCAATCCTGGAGGTTGCCAGTGGTTTTTAAACTAAAGTGGTGTTTGTCTGACACTTGTTTTTCCTGTTTTCTCGCAGTGAGCTCTTCTCTGGAAGCAACACAGGGATTAACTTTGAGAAATATGATGACATTCCTGTTGAAGCCACAGGCCAGAACTGTCCACCACATATTGAGAGTGTGAGTCACCTGATCATGATCCGAGTTTAATTGCAAATTTTTATATATATATATATATTTTTTTTTATTTTTTTTTTTATTCTTCTTTTTTAATAAATTCATCTTTGTGTTTTTGTAATACAGTTCCATGATGTAGATATGGGAGAGATCATTATGGGAAATGTAGCCCTGACCCGCTACACACGGCCCACTCCTGTCCAGAAGCACGCTATTCCCATCATCAAGACTAAGAGAGACCTGATGGCGTGCGCACAGACGGGTGAGATGTCTGCTTAGTTGCTCATGATTTGTTGTTTTTTTAGCGTGTGTGTGTGTATGGTAAATGCTTGATTGACCTTGTCTTTGTGACTGTAACTAGGTTCTGGTAAGACTGCAGCCTTCCTGCTGCCGGTCCTGAGCCAGATATACACTGAAGGACCGGGAGAGGCGCTGCAGGCGGTGAAGAACAGTGCACAGGTAGCACCTCCTGCGTGTTAGTTTGCCAATAAAGAACTGGCTCCTACTTTTGTCGTTTATCTTAACTGGGCGTGTTCTTGTCTTTAGGAAAATGGGAAATATGGCCGCCGTAAGCAGTATCCCATTTCGCTGGTTTTAGCCCCAACAAGGGAACTGGCGCTCCAGATCTACGATGAGGCCAGGAAGGTAATAAACAACAACCAGAACACCGTCTCATTGGAACTTCCCAATTTCTGTTGGTTGAAATGTATTTAAAAAATATAATAATAATTTCCCGTGTGTGTAGTTTGCGTACCGCTCTCATGTGCGGCCCTGTGTGGTGTATGGAGGCGCTGATATCGGTCAGCAGATTCGTGATCTGGAGAGAGGCTGCCATCTGCTGGTGGCCACTCCTGGGCGTCTGGTGGACATGATGGAGAGGGGCAAGATCGGCCTGGACTACTGCAAGTACGTCACTGATCTGCTGCACTTTGTGCCTCTGTGGAGCGCTGTCCAATCTTATGCATGTCTGTTACTTTTAATGGTGCCCAGTTTAAGGTCCAAGAATGCATTGGCTTTTAATACGGTTACTGTTTTGTGGTTTGACAATGAGCTGTGTGTTTCTGTCATTAGTTATCTGGTGCTGGATGAAGCAGACCGCATGTTGGACATGGGCTTCGAGCCACAGATTCGTCGTATCGTCGAGCAGGACACCATGCCGCCCAAAGGGCTTCGTCAGACCATGATGTTCAGTGCCACCTTCCCCAAGGAGATCCAGGTGAGCGTTTCAGCCAGAAGACGTCTTGTAATGTTATAGTCTTAAGATGGATCTGGCTTGTCCTGTTTATTAGGTTTGTCTGAGTTTTGAGGTTTAAAGGGATAGTTCAGCCAAAAATGAAAATGGGTCCATGTTTTACTCGCCCTCAAGGCATCCGAGGTTTATATGACTTTCTTCTTTCTGACGAGTACAATTGGAGTTCTATTAAAAATGATCCTTGCTCTTCCAAGCTTTATGGCATGGGTGGGTGTTTTTGTTCAGTAGTCCAAAAGTAGTCTCATAAAGCGCATCCATCCATATTAAAAAGTGCCTCACACTGCTCCGGGGGGTGAATAAAGGCCTCCTGCAGCAAACCGATGCGTCTAAAACTTGGAAAAGCAAGGAACATTTTTAATATAACTCCAATTGGATTTGTCTGAAAGAAGGAAGTCATAGACACCTCGGATGCCTCGAGGTTGATTAAACATGGACTGATTTTCATTTTTGGGTGAACCTAACCCTTTAATGTTTCTTAGATCTTGGCTCGTGACTTCCTGGAGGAATATATCTTCTTGGCTGTGGGCAGGGTTGGTTCTACCTCAGAGAATATCACCCAGAAGGTGGTGTGGGTTGAGGAGAATGACAAGAGGTCCTTCCTGCTCGACTTGCTCAATGCCACAGGTACATATGCCTGTAAATGGCCTCTGAACACCTTCATCTGATTTGTCTTTGCAGTCGTTTCAGTATGATCTTGATGGCAGATTGCTCCATGTTTGAGGAGATTAAATTAGCTTGTTTTGTGAGCGGACTAAACTAATCTTTAGGTTGAAGTCACTCTTTGAGGACTTTTGAGGTTGAGTACAATGGGAACGGTGAGTCTTTAATTGTCACAGTGGTTCTCTAAACACCAGAAATAATAGGGCCTTTCGCACCGCAGGAACCTTTTCATAGTACCAGAACTAATTGTGGAACTACCCACTTTTCGGCGTGTTCGCACCGCCAGAACTGGGACCGATTTTAGTACCGGACTGCCTTTTTCGAGAACCAAATTAGCTGCTACTCCGAAGCAGGGTCTAACCGGCACAACTGGTACTAATCGTGACGTAAGTAGACATTGATTGGCCAAACGCGTATGAAACCCCCCTCCCCCGCCATGATTTAAAACGCTGTGTAAACATACTGTAAACACTGTCAACTTATTTCTCAAGTATGGAGAACAGCGATAGATGGACGGACGCTGAAGCGCAGGTACTTGTAGCAAATGTAGCACTGCCCGTTGTTGTTGGAGATTCTTAGTCCTCCTTTCCGTTCTTTCAATCGCTTTACGTATACGTCAACTTTCCATGTCCATTATTGTAAAACTCGCGAGACACAACAAAAACACCGCTCCGATCACAGCGTTCTCCATCCTCCTGTTGTTAATGTTGTTCTAATTTGTTTCTGTTGTTGAACGCCGCGCACAAATGACGTCGCTGTCGACCGGCTTACGTCACTTCTTAGTACACACTGTCGGTGCGAATGCAACCCTTTAAATGGTTCAGGCAAAATTGTCCCAGTACTTGAGTACCGTACATTTAGTTCTGGAACTAAAGCGGTGCGAAAGGGCCTATTAAATTCAGTGAGCTACAGATACAGAATATTATGAGTTGCATGCATGCTCCGCCAGCACCTGAAAGCAGAGCTCCATCTGAACCCATGTAAACCTTAAGACTGACACTGATATTTGTTGAAGCTCATCATAAGGTCTGGTTTTATTCAGTCATTCCGAATGAGGTTCAGGACAGTACGGGGGAGAGCGTAGAAAAACCTGGTGAGTAGAGACGTTTATCTGTCCACTGGAAGTGGAACGAATGTAAGTCTCATCTCACGTCTTCATTTTGCTTGAACATTGTTTGTTTTCCAACTCCTCCCTTCCCATGTCAAATGAGCTCTAGTTCTCATGCTGTTAGGATCTTGACCTTAATTTATTATTTTTTCTTTCCCTCCCCGATATTTCTTTGGAAGTAGTCCTGCTCCTTTTCAGTGGTTCTTTCCTGCGGTTGGATCTGTGCATGAAGTGGCATGTAACCAATGCCATGTTGAATTGTAAAGCCATAATGCTGCTGTAATTTGGTTGCACACATGGCTGCGACTACCGTAGTCTTTTGAAATTAATGCAAAGTTCACTTCTATGAGATCCAAATGCTTGTCACTCCCTGTTTGTTGCCATTCATTAGCTTCTACTCCTCGTACTGAAGCGTGATGCAAGTTGTTGATGGTCTTCATCTCATCCAATAGGTAAAGAATCTTTGACCTTGGTGTTTGTTGAGACCAAGAAGGGAGCGGATGCTCTGGAGGACTTCCTGTATCGTGAGGGCTACGCCTGCACCAGTATCCACGGCGACCGTTCCCAGAGAGACCGCGAGGAAGCGCTCCATCAGTTCCGTTCAGGGAGATGCCCCATCTTAGTAGCCACGGCTGTATGTCATCTTCCCGCTTTCGTTTGTTTAATCTTTGGTATGTTTTGGTGCAAGTCTCAAACTCTTTTGTTCCGCAGGTGGCTGCTCGTGGTCTGGACATCTCCAATGTGAAACACGTCATTAACTTTGACCTGCCTAGTGACATCGAGGAGTACGTCCACCGCATCGGGCGAACCGGTCGCGTGGGAAACCTTGGTAATTGCAGTGACAGCAGCTACGTCTGCATGGACACTTTTTGCTTCCATCGGAATGAATTCATTCTGATTGACGAATCTGAGCGTAGTGTTTACACTGCAAAAAAATATTTTCTTCCTTTTAGTATTTTTGTCTTGTTTTCTAGTATAAATATTTAAAAATTCTTGATTCGGGATGCATTTACTTAACAAGTAAAACGACATGAGATATTTTGTCTTGTTTTCTGACAATATTATCCAAATTGTTCATTTTTGCTTAAAACAAGTAAGGTTTCACAAAATAAAACAGAGCAAATAAAGTGTAATGATATTAATAAAAACAGTATTCTTCCACCAAACAATGTAGCTCCTCAGAAACAGTTGTGGTTGCCGAGCAACACACAAAGGTGTGTTACTTTGTAGAGTCATTTACAACAGCTTCGAACACGGCTCAGCCAATCAGAATCCAGCACCGGAACTCTCCGCTTTATGTGATTTTAACCCTTTTGCATATAATATATGCCTACATGGTTACATTCACTTTGTGTAATCCAAATACAAAAGCCCAGAAAATACATTAATTAAATTAATTTTTGCTCATCACCCAGCCCTAATGCGCAGTATTTCTGTTTTCAATCCGATCAAGTGTTTACATGTCCTCTCGCTCGGATTACAAAAGGAATAAACCACCCCTTACAATCCGATTGAAATTTTAACCCGATCTGGCCAATTCAGTCCGATTGACGTGGTTACAAGTGACACTTTTTTTTGTTGTTCCGATTGTGCTTCTAGTCCTATTACGATCGGATTATTAGAGTCCATGTAAACGCTGCTACTGTTGACGTCTGCTGCGTCCCAAGTCTCAATTCAGTTGTTTTGTTGGGTTGTCTCAGGTCTTGCCACATCATTCTTCAATGATAAGAATAGCAACATCACCAAGGATCTGCTGGACATCGTGGTGGAGGCCAAACAGGAAGTCCCCTCCTGGCTGGAGAGCCTGGCCTATGAGCACCAGCACAAGAGCAGCAGCCGCGGGCGCTCCAAGAGGTGAAGCGGTTTCCCCAAGCCTTTTGCTTTCACCATCGTCCCCCGGGCACCCTGTTAAACCGGTTTGGTGTTTTTCAGGTTTTCTGGTGGTTTTGGTGCTAGAGACTACCGTCAGACCAGCAGCAGCACCAGCGGCGGAGGCTTCGGGAGTCGCGGCGGCCGTAACACCGGCGGTCACGGAGGAAACCGTGGATTTGGCGGGGGTAAGGGTCGGTTTCGCTCGGGAACAACGCCCTCATTGGGGGAAGAGGCCTTGGTGGCTTTTCTTGATTGGCTGCTTTGGAAGATATTTTCCACTTTAGCTGCATGACAACACAGTTCTCGAGTAACGTACCTGGTGTTTCTGGTCCTCAGGTGGCTTTGGTAACTTCTACAGCAGTGATGGCTATGGAGGAAACTATTCGCAGGTGGACTGGTGGGGAAACTAAGACTCCTTCCTTCACCTCTTCACTCCCCACGATGACAGTGGATCACCATGCCAAACTCACTGAATGGAAACCACATGTACCATAGCCAGACTGTATACCCTGTGTAGCTTTGAAGAACTTTGCAGTACATTACCAGCTGTGATTCTCTGACCACATCCGGAGAAGCTTGAGCTCCGTGGGACTCGGGGATGCCGGGATTTCTGGAGGTTTGACTGAAGCAGGACACGCTCTCGTGCCGAAGGGGGAACGGAGGCTGAAGTTTGCTTTAGATTCTTGGACTCTAGTTTTCCACTACATCTCATTTCTTTATACTAAATGAGAATCATTTGTTTGTTAATGTACTGTGCCTTTACATTTAGACTCGCTGTGTTTTGTTTGTTTTCCATTCTCCTTTTTAAATGTCTGGCTGGCAATTGTTTTCCCCTCTTTTTTTTTTTTTTTTTTTTTCTCCCCGCTCTAAAGATTTGTTTGGATGGTATAACAAAAGCTTGGATGTAATCAAACCTTGGCAAAGTCTGGGATGGTCTGTCACAACCTCATTTTGAACTGAAATTTTGTATGGGGTCACCTGACCCCCTCGATTGGCTTGAGGTCTCTTGTGTGGTAAAACTATCACAAGGGGGTGAAAAATATTGAATGTTGGAAGGAAAAGATCTCGCTCACTCTATCCTGGAGAGGCATCAATAAGAGACGGTAGTCTTCTGAGAGTGAAATTTATATTTTTCGGGGTAGTGTGAGCTTTTTAATGTTTAAGGTCATTTTGGACTCCACTGAAATCCACATCTGTAATAGGTCTCTGACTAAACCAGGGCTGTCCAAACTGGGTCCTGGAGGGCCGGAGTCCTGCAGCGTTTAGCTCCAGCTTGCCTCAACACACCTGACTGGAAGTGTCTATATCTAGTAAGAGCTTGATGAGCTGGAGCTGAACTCTGCAGGACTCCGGCCCTCCAGGACCCAGTTGGGACAGCCCTGATGTAAACGAATCGATCCGTTCAGTCAAACTCTGAATTGGCAGCCGAAATTTGAACGATAAACAACCATGCCAAGGTTTGGAAAAAGTTAGAAATATTTTTGTAAATGTGTATCAGTGCAAAGTGTTCAGATTCTCCAGTTCTTATTTGTTTTGGTTTGGTTTTTTTTCCAATATAGATTTTATTTTCATTTGTACCCCCAGTGAATGTCTGGCACACGGCAATCTTAAGTAACAAAAACATGTGGTTATTCTCTATTGTTGCATTTGCATATTGGGCTCTGGCGCTGGTGTTCTCTGACAGGTTTGGCTGAACATTCGGTCTTAATTACAGAAGCAGTTATGAGTGGAGTGTTGAAAGCATGAAGTGAGAGGCTTTTAATTGACCAGATCATGTGAAAGAACATCACCGGAGCCCTTAGAGTTAGAGTATTTGCTTTATGTACTAGTTTAGAGGCTGTGCACTTCACGAAAAATAAAATGTGTTTATTGTATGATTTTACCAAATTAAAGTTGGAAATTGCAAATACAGAAACTGCTCTGGCGTCTTTGCATCTTGTGCGATTGAATCCTAAAACCCTGCTGTTACCTTAAGGTTTAGTTCAGTCGAAACCGAACACCATCGTTTATTTGCCTTCATGTTGTTCTGAATCTGTGGAACAAGGAGCTGCTGGATTGGTTTCAGTGTAGTTTTAATATCAGAGGAGATCGAGCCTCTTTCTTGAGCATAGGCTAGTTTTTGTCTTCCATTGAAATAGCACAGGAGGTGAGAAATTAGGCACCATGTTTTACAGTAATGTATTCAGGGCCTCGGGGTTTTCACACATTCATACCGCGCAAAGCTCCTCTGAATATGAAAGTCACGTTTGGTGAACTCTGACCTGTGAATTTGACGTGTGACCTGTTGAAGACTCGGGGTCGCCTCGACTCATTTCAAAGAACACACACCTCGCACTTACAGAAAGTCAAGTAGATGGCATTTTCATGTTTATTTTTTTTATTGCAAAAAGCTCTGACGATTACGTCATATCCAGTTAATAACTATTTTGCACGAGTTTGGCTTTCTAATTTTCTTGTCCATTGATTTTCAAACTACAGCTTTTATTTCTGCTTCAATCCATTCCACAGATGGCCCAAATATTTGCCTGAATAATGGCGCAAGTTGTTCTCACCCTTAGAAGTTCTGGCAGTACCATTTGATTTTTGGGTGAACGATCTCTTTAATTATAACTAGCCGTTGCTAATTCTGTGAAACTTTACAAAATCTGCATGTCATAAACTTGTAAAGTTTCTTTTGACTAAAGGTACTGGTTACCTTCTCATTGTTGTTATCACATAGCTACATGTTTCTTTGGTGACGTTTAAGTTGGTGTAATTTGATTTCTATAATCTGTAGTCATCCGCCGGAACGCTTCTGCATAGACCGCAGAAGTGAGAGAAAAGAGTTTATTACATTTGAAATATGGATATTTTTCTTGTAAAAACGCATGGATTTGCTGCAGGTCTTTATTCACGCCCCGGAGCCGTGTGAGGCATGTTTTATTACAGATGCGCGCACTTTATTTAATGTGTTTTGGACTGTTGAACAGAAACACCTGCCTAATGCAATGATTGAGTTTAGAAGAGCAGGACCAGTTTTAATGTAACCCCGACTGGATTCGTCTGAAAGAGTCGTCGTATACACCGAGGATGGCTTGAGGGCGAGTAAAACACGGGCTAATTTTCATTTGTGTGAACTAACCCTTTAAGTGTGTGTTCACTGTTGTGATGGCGCTCCCAGCGGAGAGAAGGTTCTGGAAGTGTCTGCTTGTGAAGGAGCTCGTGTTCAGGTAGCAGAGTCCGTCCTGAAGGACAAGATATTCGGCAATATGTGCCAAGCATAACGCAATACAGGTCCAGTGTATGTCAAACATCAGACACGGGTTCCAAAGCAAAACACTGATAAAGTACAGATACTCAATTACATTTAAATTGACTTGAGTTTAGTAAACATACTTCACTACTGTCCGCCTCTGCGCATCGAACAAATTAGTAATTTCTAGAGTACATAAAAACAATATACTTAAAGTATTCTGCCGCCGCCATGTCGTGAAGACGCTGTGTGCTTCGTTGTGAAAGCGAAACTACTTTGTTTGGTCTTCCAAAAGAGGACACGACTAGAAATCAGTGTTAAGTTGTATTTACAACACTGTTCCAGAACACTTCAACCCAAATATTCAGATGTGTGCAGCACATTTTATGGAGGACTGTGTCCTGATCCTGGGAGAGTAGACTACAATGTTCTGTTCTGACTCACAGACTGTAAGTACGGTTTTATATTTAAAGGATTTGCCGCTGACGATTCAAACGTGAGTTTTGGGCAGTGTAGAGTAGCGCTTGTTGTTTGTCATTTCTCTGATCACAAATGCAGACATGGTTTTATGTTTACGCGGCGCGATGCAATGCAACAAGCAAAAAGACAGTATAAGTCATTATAATCAGTAATTATGTCCCACTGGATGCAACGAATGCCTGGTTTATAATGGGTTTTAATGTGTTTGTCTCGTCGCTCCGGCCGGACAGGGCAGCACAGTATGGTGAGGGGCGTAACATTTCCGTCACACGCTTGAGGTATTCGGCCAATCACAACGCTCTGGATAGCTGGCCAATCACAGCACACCTCGCTTTGAGCTTTGTAAAAATCGACGTGTTTCAGAAAGGCGGGGCATAGAGGAGAAACAATAATGTACAGTATGTGGAAAATAATGTGTTTTGAACCTTAAACCGCATAAACACATTTCATTACACCAAATACACAAAATAATGTTCTTTTTAGCAACATCATATGACCCCTTTAAACTTATTTGTATAGAATACAACAATATGTGATGACATTCTGTATATTCAGCTTTCAGTATTCTTCAGATTGCATCGTGAATGATTGCATGCCAGCCTTGAAGATAGTATCAAAACATTATTCCATGAATAATAAAGGAGAGATGAAAGACGGCAAAATGCGAAAAGTAAAATGATTGCGGAAGCGAGAGAAATACAGGGCCAGTGCAAGTGAAGTATTATAATTACTGACAAACACAAGACTGAACGGCTCATTCCGCTTTAAAAACAATGGCTGCAAACAATGCTTTTTTTATATTAGTAATTGTAAAATGCACTGAATGGATAAACACACGTTCTGTTTATTTCTCTGTGAGTTAGGCCTCCAGTGCCCTCTGACCCCGCTCACAGCTCCAACACAAGCCTGGAGGAACATTACAACATCTGGAGCAAACTAATGCTCTTTACAGTAACTGCAGTGATATTTCATCATAAAATACTGCTGATCTTAAAGTCAAGATGTCAAAAACTTGAATCAGAGGTGATTTTTATTTACAATGTAAACGTTCCCCATAAAGAAACCGCGAGTGAACAAACATAAGTCTGCTAGCGGACCGTAATGAGGAACGTAAACAACACATGACATCCCAAAGATTTACCAAACATGAAAATACAACTGTAACTTCACCAAGAACACACAACCTGTACAAGCATTAGCAGAGAATAATAATGTTTTCAGAGATAAGCATAAGCATCCCAGTGTTTTAGACAGACTCTCGGAGTAAAGCACACAGTTCTGTAAAGAATAAGATCACGTTCACCTCTATATCATCAAACACATCAAGTCCTGACTGGTTAATGAGTGTACAGGCCAGCCTATCTTCAGGTGCATGATGGGAAGACGCTCCTCACAGCATCAGCTCAAGAGGCCAGGCCAAGCAGGAAGCCACCCACAAATCCACTTGAAACCACAATGTTTTTCTTCACAAATTCAGTGGCCTGAAAAACATGGTTAATGAGGTGCATCTCCTCCTAACCAACAGAGGGCGCTGCTGCACGCAGAAAACCGCCTCAGAGCTGCTGCGCAAATGAATTCTATCACTCCTGTATGGTGTAGAACTACATTAAAAAAAGACTAAACTGACTTCTGAAGCAAAGGAAATCTATAAAGTCTTAATTTATTTCTATAATGAAAGTCCTAGTCATTTGAAGGATTCACTTTCATTGATACGATTATAAAGGGTCTTTACCTCCTCGATAAACGTGTTGAACTCCGGTGCGGCTTTGTTGGTGTTTTTCTTCAGACGTCTCTTTGCTTTGTTAACGTCTTTCTCCACTTTCTTCCAGTCGACTTGGACGTAGCCGCTGTGATTGGCTATCTGCAAGACAACAAACCCTTTAAAGTCACATTGTGCCACAATAACATGATGAAGAGCGAAAGGTTTGTTGTGCAGTTGTTGTTTCTGGCCTGCAGCAGCAGAAATCCTCCTCCGACGGCTGTAGCGGCGATCTTCCCCACGCGCTGGAACACATACCCCACACACCTGCAGACAAGCACGCGTCATCACTACTACACTACAGCCAAAGTAAGAGGTTTCTTAACTGATCCTGAAGAAGAGTAGGGCTGCGACGATAAATCAATGCAGATTTGATTCGGAGATCTTCCCGATGCATCGCCATTCTCTCGGATTCTGAGCTTGTATTTTAACAGCAGATGGCGCTCTACTCAAGTTTTTATTCACACACTCAAACACTCATGAAGAAGAGCTAAAGATGAAGAAGAGCTAAAGATGAAGAAGAGCTGAAGAGCGCTTGTGTGTTCGGCTGAGTCTGTAATTTCACCTCGGCTCAGAATGCTTTTATGACGCCAGATTAATGTAAACACAGCCCACTGTCAACACCTTTGTAATTAGCTTCAACCTTGCATTTTATGAATGGAAATGAATTTGGAAACAAGCAGAGTACGGCCGTTTCTAACCAAGCAGCAGCCTCGCGCTCTCTCTCGTGAAACCAACACGGAAGTGACTGAAACTGTAATTCATCGACTGGCCGCTAGAGGCTGGCTGCAAAAGAGAGTCAGTCCCATAGACTCCTCATGTTAAAATGCCCAACTTTACAGCAGAAAAAAACATGTTTACAGCCTGGTATAAAAAGTGGTTTTGGTCTATATAGCTAATTTTGCCCTTCATGACAACGGTGAGGGGGGGATTTTTTTTATAACTCATCCGTTTAAATTATATTAAGCCTTAAAGTTCTGCATAATTAAGGGCGTGGCCACTTGAGTGACAGGTGGATTGCCGCTGCTGTCACCGGCGTCGAGCTAGGTGGGCGTGGCTTCAGCAACCAGCTCCCGCCTCTTTGCCCATTTCCGATTATCCGTGAGTGACGCGCTGCCAAGATGGCGACGGCCGGCTCCGCCCACTTTATGCTTCAAAGCCGCTCTTCAGAAACCTACGGGTGACGTCACGGACACTACATCCATGTTTTTACACAGTCTATGTTTCTAAAGCACGCAGCGCCATCTGCTGTTCAAAACTAAGCTCAGAATCGACTCGAGAAAGAATCGCCATGCATTCGGATGATCTCGGAGTCGTTTCTGTATTCGCAATGCACTGATTTATTCCCCAGGCCTAAGGAAGGGTTGTCAGCGCACCAGCCCGCCGCTCCACCCGTCATGATCTGAGTGGCCACGGAGTGTTTCTCTGCGATGGGGCCGGAGCTGCTCCCGAACACGGCGCTCCACCACTGCTGCGTCCGAGCGTGTGCGGTCAGATCCAGCATCTCGTACACCTCGTCTTCATCGTCCGCTCCTGAACACACCAACAGCTGATCATAGGGACAGTGCGACTAAAATAGGAATACTCCACATGTCTTAATTCCATTTGTGTTTACTTCGACTTCGAGTGCGTTCACATCCAACAATATTCTGATTTTAACACGGTTAAGACAATACCCTGATTAAGAATCTACCATGTAAACAGATTTTTGATTACTTTAATCCGGCTAAAGTCATAGTCTAGTTTTAATGTGAAATAAACATGAATGAACATCTCATGCCTCGTGTAATCTAATCACTTAATAATGTTTCAACCGCGGAAAGGCGTCATTAAAACCCTCAGGCAAGTCATCAGTGTCCAACAGCTCGTTATTTGCTCGAGAAATTAGCATTTTGAGAAATATTAGACTATACACTTATTATATTTTACTTTACCTGTTAGTGATGTCTTAACCATTTAATGTATATTCAAATAAACCTTTTATGAAACAAGTTACGACAGCCACTGTGCAAATGAATATATTTAAACAACAAATAGAAACTGTATAATTTAGAAGCTATGTGCAATTTACATGTTTGCGTACACATTTTTAATTTGAGTGTCGATTATTATAGTTAATAATAAATAGTAATTGAATTTAAGTTTGGGCTCGGTTGTTAATTGTAATCGTATAGTACTGTAAAAGGGCTCCCTTGTGGTTCAGAGGAGAAGCTGAGGTAGATTTTAATCCTGAGAATATTAATTATAATTGAATTTATTTAAAGGTGACATATCATGAAAATCTGACTTCTCCAGGTTGTAAGTGCTATAATCAGGTCTCCGGTGCATCTACCAACCAAGCAAACATGAAAAAGATGAACCCAGTCACTTAGTTTTGGGAAGCCTTGTTCTGCAAGCGTCTGAGAAAACCAGCGCGTCTGATTTCTCTCCCTCTGTGACGAGGCAAAGGGATCTCATTATAATATTACCGCCCCTTAATCTGTAAGTTTACACCCACGGCGCCGTCATTGTGATTTCGCAAGCGACAAGCGTGTAGCAGCTCTAATGCCATGGAGAAAGTGTGAGCGAAGCATGCTAACTGTTCTGTGTTTGTCTGCAGAGACGAGCACAGAACACTGTTTAGAGTCCCAGCCTCAGAGACGACAGAGCAGAGCATTTATTGATGTATTTACTGTATATTGCTGCTGCCACACAGATCTAAAATAAACATGCGATTTATTTCCCAGCTGTTTACCTTCACAGACATAACCCACAGTTTTTGTAACTCGTGTGTTTTTAAGGTAAACTTGTGTGTGAATGAGAACTTAGTTTAGTGCTCGCATGCTGCGACAGCCGCTTTCTGTGCGTGTGCTTCGGATGTGTGGAAAGTTTGAGCGAAGCATGCTAACTGTTCAGTGTTTGGCTGCAGAGACGAGCACAGAACACTGTTTAGAGTCCCAGCCTCAGAGACGACAGAGCAGAGCATTTATTGATGTATTTACTGTATATTGCTGCTGCCACACAGATCTAAAATAAACATGCGATTTATTTCCCAGCTGTTTACCTTCACAGACATAACCCACAGTTTTTGTAACTCATGTGTTTTTAACGTAAACTTGTGTGTGAATGAGAACTTAGTTTAGTGCTCGCATGCTGCGACAGCCGCTTTCTGTGCGTGTGCTTCGGATGTGTGCGCTCAGAAAACCCTATATCAGAAGTTTAAACTCGTATGGTTTAAAACGCATGATTTCAGCACGATAAACATGATAATCAGAACCAAAACAGATGTTTTTAGCAGGTCTGAGCTGTAATGGCGCAGCTCTATTCTGGAAAAGGGGGCGGGGTCAGCAGCTCATTTGCATTTAAAGAGACAGGCCACTCAAAATAGGCATTTTCAAAATGATATAATAAATGTGTATTTTGAGCTGAAACTTCACAGACACATTCTGGGGACACCAGAGACTTATATTACATATTGTAAAAGGGGGGCATAATATGTCACCTTTAAAGAAAGAGTCATTTTTTTAAGTAAACCTCTGTTTAATTATAAAAGAAAGCACTGTTATGTGTAGTTCCCCCCGCTGTGATGTTTGTGTAGCGCTACAGCTCTGATCAGATCCCAGAACCAAACCCACATCTCAAGCAAACTGAAGTATTCAGTTACACTCATGGAGCGTTATGTCAAAACACGAACTCCTTTAACTGTATATGGCTGCTATATTTTGACTACAATATTACTCTTATAAAACTCACAATGCTTGATAAGATGATTTTAGGTGAAATGTGACCAGGACATGTCAGTCAGCTGCTGCTTGAAGGAGACGCAGACAAGACTGAAGCGAGCTCATTATTCTCCGTGTTTGTGTTTAAGAAAGCAGCAGAATCTACGAGTGTCGCTTCATTTAACGGGCTCTGAGTGACACACGCAGTCCTCGGTGCTGCAGCTGACTTCAGAGCGCAATAACGGCGATAAAGACTTGCTTTTATTCTCCTACACGTGACGGAGGACCCGCTCACCTCTGCTGTGTTGTTGTTCCGCCATTTTGGGTGCTGCGTGTGACGTCACTGCGTCAGGTGACGTTGACAGCTGCGAGCCCCGCCTACAGCCACGTCAGTGTGTCCGGTTATAATCCTGCCATTTCATATCCATAACACACACACACACACACACACACACACAGATGTGTGCTTAAACACGCGTTAGAGCTGAAATGTTCGTTCTGAATACAAGCGGTTTGTATTTCTTCATGTGAAGATTCATGTCTCATTGCACTTCATAGCAGCCGCACAGCACTGAATCAGCGCGCGCTTCTTAAAGGAGACGGCACGCATGAGTGCTTCTGTAACTGAGAGTGATGCTGTGCTCAAAGCGTCGGGCCTCGGCTGCTCGGCTGTCAGTCCAACTTCCCCACTTTATGAAAACCACGCCTGTTTATTTGCATTTCATAACAACGCAAACGAGCCGCTCGCAGTCCTCTGTTTGAGGGAATCGCGTCGCGCGCTCCTTACAGGAATATGGAGATAGAATTGTTGCTTAATTCCAAATAAATAGATTATGATCCACAAATAAATCTTAAAGTTTCACAAACATGAATTAAATTCACAAATAAATAAAATGAGATTTGCAAATAAAACACATATTCACAAATATATATTTATGTCACAACCACAACTTTGCCTGGCATTTATTTGTGAATCGCGTCCTGTGCATTTGCGAATTGTGAAACATTTCTTGCGTCAAGACTTCTTCCGTCTACTCAAGCCAATCAGATAACAGCCACATTCGCTGACCAATCGCAGCACGATCTCGCTATAGCCAATCACGTGTTGCTCTACAATCAGGGCGGTCTGGTGCTGAGATCACTTCATGCATCTGCATTGGCTCAAATAGCTCACATGAGGGCCATACAGTGGGTACAGATTCTGGAAAAGGGGGCGGGGTCAGCAGCTCATTTGCATTTAAAGAGACAGGCCACTCAAAATAGGCATTTTCAAAATGATATAATAAATGTGTATTTTGAGCTGAAACTTCACAGACACATTCTGGGGACACCAGAGACTTATATTACATATTGTAAAAGGGGGGCATAATATGTCACCTTTAAAGAAAGAGTCATTTTTTTAAGTAAACCTCTGTTTAATTATAAAAGAAAGCACTGTTATGTGTAGTTCCCCCCGCTGTGATGTTTGTGTAGCGCTACAGCTCTGATCAGATCCCAGAACCAAACCCACATCTCAAGCAAACTGAAGTATTCAGTTACACTCATGGAGCGTTATGTCAAAACACGAACTCCTTTAACTGTATATGGCTGCTATATTTTGACTACAATATTACTCTTATAAAACTCACAATGCTTGATAAGATGATTTTAGGTGAAATGTGACCAGGACATGTCAGTCAGCTGCTGCTTGAAGGAGACGCAGACAAGACTGAAGCGAGCTCATTATTCTCCGTGTTTGTGTTTAAGAAAGCAGCAGAATCTACGAGTGTCGCTTCATTTAACGGGCTCTGAGTGACACACGCAGTCCTCGGTGCTGCAGCTGACTTCAGAGCGCAATAACGGCGATAAAGACTTGCTTTTATTCTCCTACACGTGACGGAGGACCCGCTCACCTCTGCTGTGTTGTTGTTCCGCCATTTTGGGTGCTGCGTGTGACGTCACTGCGTCAGGTGACGTTGACAGCTGCGAGCCCCGCCTACAGCCACGTCAGTGTGTCCGGTTATAATCCTGCCATTTCATATCCATAACACACACACACACACACACACACACACAGATGTGTGCTTAAACACGCGTTAGAGCTGAAATGTTCGTTCTGAATACAAGCGGTTTGTATTTCTTCATGTGAAGATTCATGTCTCATTGCACTTCATAGCAGCCGCACAGCACTGAATCAGCGCGCGCTTCTTAAAGGAGACGGCACGCATGAGTGCTTCTGTAACTGAGAGTGATGCTGTGCTCAAAGCGTCGGGCCTCGGCTGCTCGGCTGTCAGTCCAACTTCCCCACTTTATGAAAACCACGCCTGTTTATTTGCATTTCACAAACGAGCAAACGAGCCGCTGGCAGTCCTCTGTTTGAGGGAATCGCGTCGCGCGCTCCTTACAGGAATATGGAGATAGCTTAATTCCATAATTCCAAATAAATAGATTATGATCCACAAATAAATCTTAAAGTTTCACAAACATGAATTAAATTCACAAATAAATAAAATGAGATTTGCAAATAGCATTTGTGAATCGCGTCCTGTGCATGTGCGAATTGTGAAACATTTCTTCCGTCAAGACGTGCTGACAATCCACAAATACGTGGACTCCACCCACCGTCTACTCAAGCCAATCAGATAACAGCCACATTCGCTGACCAATCGCAGCACGATCTCGCTATAGCCAATCACGTGTTGCTCTACAATCAGGGCGGTCTGGTGCTGAGATCACTTCATGCATCTGCATTGGCTCAAATAGCTCACATGAGGGCCATACAGTGGGTACAGTACAATTTCGTTAGACCATTAGACTGTGTATCATGCCAAGCCACAGTATTTTATGGTTACGTGCCTTTGAAAATGCCAGAACGCGGCTTAAATCACGGCTATATGGGAACAACGCTATACTGGATTCAAGCGCGATATGAAAGCGTCATTTATTCAATATGGAAATAAAAGTGTCAATAAGTAACTGACTAATAAATAACTGAACTCAACCTCATAATGAACATTTGTTTGTGTAATAGGTTAAATTGCCCAGTTTCTCAGGCAAGCTGATGTATACGAGCTGCTCTGAGGATCTAACGATGTGTGAAGCTTCTGATATTCTGTGGTGGTCACAGCTCTAATAGAAATTAATCTACCAATAAGCTTAAATATATATATATATTTTACATTTTAAAAGCATTTTTACATTTATAAAGCCTTTTTTTCTTAAAGTGTGCCTCATCTTTTTGAGTCAAATTATTGCATATAATTTGTAAATTAGAATAATGAGACATTTGGGCTGTTATCAAACAAATGGTATAAATTAATCTTTACAATGCAGAGGAAACACAGAAGCTGCGTCTGAAGTGATCTTTAGATGTCACACTGTTTAGTGCCGCTCAGAGGGACATGGGGTGCTTTAACCTGCAGTTACAAATGCATAGATAATGTTTTGATATTGTAAACAAAAAACGTCGAATACTGACATTTGAAATTATTTAAAAAATATAAATGTGAAATTTAAACCCAGTAGGTGGCAGCAAGTCACTGTTAGAGTCCTTGCGATCGAACCGAATCATTTAAAAGTTGATTCATTCAGAAACGAAACAACTGCTTTTCATTGTTTCTGAGTGAGGTGTGTGTGAGATCCTGAGCCCCGTGTGTGTGTTTCTCTCGTTCGCAGCTCTCTGTTCGGACGCCAGCGGCTGCGTGAAGATGGCGCCAGCACGAAGGCCCTGCTCCTGAAGGTAAAGATGCGCGCTAGAATCAACGCTTCGCGACGCACACATGCGGTGCGGAATGACAGCGAGGGCCAGGGTTTCCGAGCGGCGACGCGTCCTTATTTTCTCCTCAGAGCTGCGCGGCTAACGCGCTCGATCTGACGCGGTTCTGCTTGCGTTCACACGAGCGTCGCGCGGAGGCTGGCTTCTCAAACACGGGTAAACGCGGCGCGTCCCTAGCGTTAGCCGCGCGTCTGTGTGTGTGTGTGTTTACTCTGTAGCTGGTTTGTGGACACGCGGGTGTCGGACAGCGCCTCGGATCAGTGTAAGATTTAAGGCTGTATTTCCCTCAGCGACTGAGCTGGGCTGGGCTGGTCGTCGGATCGCGCTCAGGTTTACTCGGAGGCGGTGGTGTGTGTGCGGGGTAATGGCTGCTTGGGTCGGCCCAAGATGGCGGGGTGGGGAGGAGTGAGAGCTAGCGCCTTATCATGCAGAAAGAGACGCGAGTAACGCTGCAGCTAGCGTCGCTTCTGCCTTCCATTCCGAGCCCCGCGAAGGCTTGTGGGTAACCGGCCTCCCGTGAGAACACTAGCTGCGCTGTTGTGTTGTTGTGCAGGTCAGCAGCGAGCTGTAGTGAACACTAGAGAGTGGACAAAGACCGAGTGCTGTCTGCAGCTGATTCCAGACTCCTGGTTCAGTTAGAAACCCTGCAGAGCTGGAGCATGTCTCTACAGACACTTTCTGTCCTTTACGCACAGCCGTAGACCTGATTGTGTCTGGTGGATTTGATAGATGTTCTGCTGTCGTCCTGTGTATCTGCTTTTATACACACGACCCCTGACCTCTGGTAATTGGTGTCAGGATTAACACCATTGATGGGATAGTTCACTAAAGCAATAAGCCCCGTGAAGCCGTGGTTTACAGTCATAGACTGTAAAAAAAGTTGGAGTCTCCTGTTCCTTCCACTATAGAAAAGTGAAGCCAAAGCATCTCAGTGTGGCCTCTGCCGTCTTCAGTAAATGACGGTCGCTTGGAGCCCGAGTCTGCGCGGTAGAGATTCGCTTGGAGCCCGAGTCTGCGCGGTAGAGATTCGTTTGGAGCCCGAGTCTGCGCGGTAGAGATTCGTTTGGAGCCCGAGTCTGCGCGGTAGAGATTCGTTTGGAGCCCGAGTCTGCGCGGTAGAGATTCGTTTGGAGCCCGAGTCTGCGCGGTAGAGATTCGTTTGGAGCCCGAGTCTGCGCGGTAGAGATTCGTTTGGAGCCCGAGTCTGCGCGGTAGTGTCGTGAGGTGGAGCCGTGGTATCAAACTCCCGCAGACCCAATCAACCATAACGACACGCCCCGTTTTTATAGCATCAAATTACTAGCTAAAATCAAACTTATCACAAAAATGAAAAATTTAACATATATCAGAGTGATAACGCCTTAAATGACCAAATCCATCTTTCGGAAAATTGTATTGGAAGTGTAATTAATTTTTTTTATTTTGATTGAAGTCCCATTTGTTTACATGGAGAGGGCGGGGTTTATGACCTGTACTGCAGCCAGCCACCAGGGGGCGATCAAAGAGCCCGCAGCTTCACTTTTCAGGACGTGTGAGACACTCGTTTACAGTGAATTTATAACAGCTAAGCGGCATTAAGTATGACGTGAAGCAGAGTCTAAAACCCTCTTAGCTGTTATAAATTCACTGTAAACCACGGCTACACAGGGGTTACTGCTTTTATAAAACGGTTATTCCATATATGTAGTAAGGCTTCACAAAATAAAGCAGAGCAAATAAAGTGTAATGATATTAATAAAAACAGTGTTCTTCCACCAAACAATGTAGCTCCTCAGAAACAGTTGTGGTTGCTACAAAGTGGTTGCCGAGCAACACACAAACGTAAACAAAGGTGTGTGTTACTTTGTAGCGTCATTTACAACAGCTTCGAACGCAGCTCAGCCAATCAGAGTCAAGCACCGGAACTCTCCGTGTTATAATAAAAAATACTCTTCTGTGACACTCTTTCATTCACTTCATTTCCAGCGATCTCGTTAACTTGATTGCTAGACGATGACATCGCTGAATCAACGATGAACTGACTTTAACTGAAAACTGCGCGTTTACTGTTTTGCATTATTACTCACTAGTTTTTCTGTTTATTACTGTAAAGCTGCTTCGACACAATCTGTATTGTTAAAAGCGCTTTATAAATAAAGGTGACTTGACTTCAGTGGAAGTCAAAAGAAGATATTTTGAAAAATGTCTTGTTTTCTTTGTCCATACAATAAAAGTGGTCCATGAGTCCAGTGTTGTTTTGCATTGTCTGGACAAAAACAGTTTAAACATTCATCAAAATATCGTCTTTTGTAAACGATGACAGAATGATAGTTTCTGGATCGATCATCGTATTGAGCGTGTTGTCAGGTGTCGCTTTCCCATCCTGACATGCTTCTGTCTGCAGTCTGTATATTAATTAATGTAACTGGAGTGGTTGTTTTGGTCTGGTTTCTGACTGAATGTGTGCGCTGTGAGTGAAACACAGTTGAGCTGATTTGTAGTTCACTAGAATGTCGTCCAGATGGAGGTGAAGTATCTGTGGCAGCTTTTAGCATTGTGTCGTTACTGTTGTTTATTTTAACAGACTGCTTGCGTCTCTTGATCTGAATTGCATTTCCATGCTAACACGTGTTGGACTGATCAATAACCCGGCTTATCAATCTCAAACACACACACGCACGGCTTTAGAGCTTTACAACATTCTGATCTGCAGTATATGTTTGAATGTGGACGGTTTAAGTTAGCTTATGATCTGTTATTTATTTAAAGTCATCACAGTTGTCTGTATAATTTATGTCAAATGGAGAAGTCACTTTCATTTGTGTTCCTTGTTTCTGTGTCAGTGATGGAGAATAAAGAAAAACCTGTAAGAGCTAAGGCAAGTTAAAGGGGTCATATGATGTGATTTCAAGTTCTCCTTCAATAATGTACAGTATTTGAAAAATAATGTGTTTTTTTAACATTACAGCATGTCAACATATTCTGTTACACCAAATACACAAAATAATGATCTTTAAAAAAGCATCATATGACCCCTTTAAAGATGTGTGTGGTGGATTGGGCTGAGTTCACTCCTGTACAGCAGATGGCGCTGCTCGAATGTGGAGCGATCAGCGAGAGAATGCTCCTGTGTGGTGGGTTTATGTCTGAACGGCATGAAATGTGAGGTTTTCATGCTCAAACTAGTGGTGACCGGCTCGTAGCTGATCCGTACGGTTCGGCACGCATGTGATCCCCGCGCGGACTCATTGCTAAATTTGACCATAATAGTGAGAGTTTATCAATTGTATGTGTTTACACTCCAGCGAAAAGGAACTCGATTCGTTACTCGCGTGTTGCTTTCTATGTTCACAGACGCACACACATGAAGCGTGTATGAGCCCTCTTTTATATCTCCTTCACTCATTGCCTTTAAACAGACGCATATACACACAAAACTATGAGAAGATCTCGACAATCATTCTGTTAAATGCAGTCAGTTATGTCTCAAGTGAACGAGAACAGCTGAGAAAGAAAGCGGATGTGTATCATATTGGATCCATGCATCAGCTCTTAAAGGGGCAGCAGCCTATAAATACCAGACATGTTTTTGACAAAGATTAGTCTGTATTTAATTTATACAGTGAACACTATGCAGTGTTATTTTACACTTAATTATTACATTTCTGTACCTGAATACTACGACCTTATTTTATTTGTAACATTGTTCTGTTGTATTTATCTGTGCTTGTGATCTGTGTATTTGTTCTTATTTTTACTGGCTGTTCCCTTGTCTCTTTAATAACGTTTGAACCGTGTGGTGTGGCTGACACAGAATAGCATGCGCTGTTTGCGTTCAGTGGATACTCCGCAACTTTTTTGCATTTATGATCTATATTTTGTTTGCGCTCCTGATTCTCATTAGTTTTGAAGAGCATGCTTTATATCATTGTTTGATATGTAGTTCGTCAACGCTTTCTCGTGTCTGTGCTGAGCAGAACCAGAATAACAGCCGTATGGAGCTCTCCATACAGACGCTAAACCACGTGACCTGCGTCATCCTCCACCAGCCTCTCATTACTGCGTGTTTGAGACTGTTATTGCTTGTTTACCGCAGCTCGGCCATCGGAGACGTGCCGTCTGAAGCGGGCCGGTTTGGTGTTTAGCGGGGCTTGAACGTGCGTTTGTAGGTGAAGCACTCGTTTTATGTTACGTTCATATTCACTGCTTAAAGGGACAGTTCACCCAAAAATGATCGTTCTGTCATCCTTCACTCACCCTCGGGTTGTTCAAACCATTATGACTTTATTTTTCTGTGGAACAGTGTTTTGGTCTGTATTAGAAGTCAATGTGTCTTTGTTGTCTAGTCCTCGACATTCTTCAAAGCATCTTCTATTTTGTGTTGTACAGAAGAAAGTAAGTCATGAAGGTTTGATCGGCATGAGGGCGAGTAAATGATGTGAGAAAGATCGTTGTTTGGTCACAGACGGTGGGAACAGGTCTATTAACCACCAGCGGCTTGTTCTAACCTAGTTAACGAGATGCGGGTGTATCTCATACTCTTGTGCAGTAATTGAAACTAGGGATGCACCGAATGTTCGGCAGACGAAATTATTACTTTGGTATACCTTCATGGTTTTTAAGGTGCTTTATAAATTAATAAATGATTGATTGATTGAAATAGTTTTGTATGTGAATGTGTTAAACTGTAATGTATTTCTGTGATGCGCAGCTGTATTTTCAGCATCATTCCTCCAGTCTTCAGTGTCACATGATCTTCAGAAATCAGTATAATATGCTGATCTGCTGCTTAAAGTGTCCAGTTTACCTTCTTTTTTAAGCCAATTGCATGCCTTATTGAAGAAGGGGGTCTCAAAAATGGCCAAAAAATATTTACATTTTACTAACTTATTAAATTGTGCTTTGTTGTTATAATATCTGTTTGACTGTTAAAAGCGTTCAGTGTTAAATAGTTTTAGATTGCTGTTTTGTAATTGATTTTTTTTCTTTGAAAAGCAAGACAAAACCATAAAAAGCACATTTTGGCTATTTAATTTACGCAATGGTGAATAAATTGGGAAAATACATGGAGGAAAAACCGTATTCGGCCTTCAACCCAGTGTTTCATTTTGTTGGGCTTCAGCCAAGAATCTTTGTTTCGGTGCATCCCTCATTGAAACGCTAGTGTTTATTTGAATAGCTTTTGCTGTAATGTACACATTCTCTCCATCTGTGATATTGGCATAATCTAAACAGTGGACTATTAACTCAACCTCACGTTCTGTCTGTAATTCATGGATGTTGAGGGTTAAAGCGCGATTATTAAATGCTTCGGAGTGACGGTGATGTGAGTCTTCAGCACGAGAGGACCTCGTGTCCTGAACATCATCTGTGGAGTCCCCGGAGCTGAAGATAGTGTTTGAGTGACAAGGAAATCTGAGCAGGGTAATCACTGACGCCTCGTGATTCTCCTGAGTCCTGGTGAACGGTGGTGGTGAAATAGAAGCCATATTTCTAGTTTGTTTACTGGAGGTTGAGAATGACTGACCGGCCGATGATGGGTCAGCCTTGAGCTCGCAGTGCTGTCGTTCACTATTTCAAGATGGATCGCTAGTCTGAAGTGTCTTCGTTTCCCTGGTTTACTGACATCTTGTGAAATAGTGAATTTCTAATCTTTTCTGCTGAGAATATAATGCAGAAATATTAAACGTAAAATGTAATGGTTTTCTTAAGACATAAAGGTTTGTGTTTACATGTCACCGTATTCTTCAAGTGTTTGAGAGTGATGCATGTGTTTCTCTTGTGTAATGTTGAATGTGTTCCTCACACAGGCTGTTCGCTGCTACGAGTCTCTCATCCTGAAAGCTGAAGGAAAAGTGGATCCCGAGTTCTTCTGCCAGCTGGGTCATTTCAACCTCTTACTGGAGGAGTATCCGAAAGGTGCCGAGAAGCTTTTCTGTTCTGATCCACTAACATGACCACAAGCTTCTCCTAACACGCGTGTCTTTGTGTTGCAGCATTATCGGCGTACCAGCGGTACTACAGTTTACAATCAGACTACTGGAAGGTGAGCAGCTGATGAATTCAGACACACGTGTGTGTATGTTTGGTTGTTTGTGTGTGTTTCTTTTAGTGGTCGACTGATATATCATCCGATATTTGGCATTTTTCAAATATCTGCATCGGCCGATAAGAGTTTCTGTTTGGCCGATAATGTTTGAGACTTTTATTTCGACGGCGCTGAGAACAGCACACAGCGCTCACGTTCTCCCTCTTCATCGTCACATTAGATAATTTGCCAGAATGAATTGCTTGTGCTTTCGATTGAGGGTATTGAGCGCCGCCTAGTACCCCTGTACAACCGAGCCTGGGCTGACATCAGGGGTTCCATGACTAACCATATGATAACTGCCCCCCCCAATGTCACCCGTGTGTGTGTGTGTGTGTGTATATACATACAGGGCTTGACATTAACACATGCCAAATGCGGGTGGATTTCATCTGCGGCGGGTAACAAGGTCACTTTATATACAGTAACGGAGCTCGACATCAATGCTTGTCTGGGACAAGTGGATTTTTTGAAGGGGCAAGTGAAAGAGAATTTTCTTGCCTTACCGGACAACTAATCAGATTAAAACATAATTAGGGAAGCATGGAAATGTTATAATGTTGCAGTGTAAATGCATTCATGCTACATTTCAGCTTCATAAAACTGTAAATGCATCTAAATGCCACTTCTGTTTCTTCTGCAGTGGAAAGATCGTTTTTGTTAATACTGATTTCATTGGATTGGTAACAGCCCTATAGTGTCTTATTACATTAAGTGAAATTATTAATAAAATTTAAGAATTTGATATGAAAGATGATGCATGCATTTAACACAGTTAGGGAAAAATGCCCTGTAAATGGACAAAAAAAAATTTTAGTATGCAGTAACTTCAGTCATTTAAATCGTAATTTCCCAGCAACAAAATTACAGCCGGTGAAAATGCGGAGTAGCTAGTAATTTTGGAAAACCACTAGCCACAGTGGCTGGTGAGCAAAAAAGTTAATCTCAAGCCCTATATATATGTGTGTGTGTGTTGATTGGCAGTTGTAGTGGGATCTTCCCGTGGGGTTTTCATCAAGTGTTTCAGGTGGTTTTCACTGTGACTGATCTTGTTGAATGTGGATGTCTGATGATTTTTTTTCTCTGAATCTCAAACACTGTCCTCTGATCCTCTAGAATGCTGCCTTTCTGTACGGCCTCGGGATGCTTTACTTCCATTACAATGCGTTTCAGTGGTGAGTATCTGCATGCAGTAACGTGATGAGAACGCCCCGTTTGTCGTTCTCGTTTTGGCCGCTCGTGTAACGAGGTTAACGAGCTCAGATGGGCATCAAAGGGTGGGTGGGTGGTCGGTTTCCATGGCGATATCCAGAACACCCCCCCCCCCACACACACACACACGTAGGCTGATTCTGGGAGATTCCTCATGGATTTAGATTCAGTCTTATTCAGTAGCGTCGTGCTGTTCAGGAACGAGTTTTTAATTGCGGTTTATTTGCTCTCAGGGCGATCAAGGCGTTTCAGGAGGTGCTGTACATCGACCCCGGCTTCTCTCGCGCTAAAGAGATTCATCTGCGTCTCGGCCTGATGTTCAAAGTCAACACAGACTACGAGTCCAGCTTAAAGGTACGACACGAGCGGCACACTGCTTTAAAACACATGTAGTGTATGTGCAGTAGTGAATTTGTGATTTACATGAAAACATCTGCAAACTATCAGTTTAACACATCACGGCATCTTCAGTCAATCCTCCCGATGTGGTCTCTGACATGTTAACACATACGTTCTGTCTGTCAACGAATCTGTTGACAGACTGAATGCGGCTGAATTATGTCTCATTTAGATAGAGGTCTGAGTCCTGATCTTTACTCGATAGGGACAGCACATTTAGCTTGGTTTCTGTCACATATTTATTCTGTGTCATTCATTGTTAATGTACAATTGTGCTTTGATTATCATCTTGAACCGAAGTTTCATTCGTGTCTCAGAAGTAGCTCAGTAGCTTGGATGTGTTTGCTGTGTGTTTGTGATTAAACTCTTTGACTATATGCAGTCTTTAATGTTGAGGCGTTGAAAGTGTCTTGATGAGTTAAGATGTCAGTGTGGTACTGAGAGGTGTGAGAGGTCACTTGGTCTCCTGTGTGTCCGCAGCACTTTCAGCTGGCCCTCATCGACTCCAATCACTGCACTTTGTCCAAAGCGGAGAGTAAGTACTGCACCCACATCTCGTGATAATGCCACCATTACACCACAAACACCGTGACTGTGTTATCAGTTTAAACAGCAGACTATTAGTGGTGTTAGTTAAGGTAGCCCTCACTAGTACTGATGCTGTTCACACTAGTAGCACGAAGTAGTGAAGTGTGTGTGAGTACAGTGTTTGCTCCGGACGAGAGCGTGCTGCTGTTTACTGAGTGATCAGACTAACCATTTTCACCTGCTGGACCGTAACACAGCTTGAAACCCCACAGACTTTATGATGCGTGTTAATAGCTTATTTAAACTCTTTAACCTGTAATGCTGCTTTTGACTCTCAATGGAAAAAAACGCACAACTCCGTTTACAGCAGTTATTATCGTCCCTTCATATTCTCAAACTCATATTGCCTGCAACCGGTTGCCTTGGAAACACCAATAGCAGCAGCCGCTGGCATAGTGTTTGTGATTTTTCTCTCCCTCTCTCACACTCACTCACACACACACACACACACACACACTCAGTCTATCTCACACACACACACACACACTCTTTCTCTATCTCACACTCACACACACACACACACACACTCAATCTCTCTCTCACACACCCACACACACACACTCAATCTCTCTCTCACACACACACTCTTTCTCTATCTCACACTCACACACACACTCAATCTCTCTCTCACACACCCACACACTCACGCTTTCTCTATCTCACACACACACACACACACACACACTCAATCTATCTCTCACACACACACACACACACACTCTCTCTCTCACACACACACTCAATCTCTCTCGCTCTATCTCACACACACACACACACACTCTTTATC